CCTCATGAAGTTGACCCCATGTTGGACTCGGCCCTGACAGTGCTGAGCCTGGTTGGGATTTTCTTTCCTTTTCTCTCTGCCTGTCCCCAACTTGCATGCGTGCACATGCAAACACATGTAAGCTCTCTCTCTCTCAAAATAAGTAAACATTAAAAAAAAAAAAAAAACACACACACACACACATAAGTAAGTCCTGTAGTGCTGCCTCATTCCTATTTCCTCCTACCCGTATGTTTTATGTAAACTTTACAGTTGTTCTTTTTTTATACATTTTATTCTACTCAAATACTATTTTCATTTATATTCTTTAGAATAAGAAATTTGGAATTTGGTTCTTACAATCTCCAAATATATGTGAAGAAAACAAGCATATAAATGAACGAGAAGGTGGGATTAAATAATGCAATCAGAGTTAATATTTCTTAGTTTCCTCCCATCATAAAAGTAACTTATAATTAGTATAAATCTTTATAGGTCAGTAGGTGAGATGTATAGTGGTGTATTGTTTGTAATAGATACCTACAACACTAAACTAGTTGTATCATTTTTTAAAAATCTATTCTACTGTGGCTTTAAATACATTAAGTAAAATTTTGCTCTACCGGGAACTTGAATGGCATGAAATCTGAAGTTGTTGTCTAATAATAAATCATTTAACTAACAAGTGAACCTAATTCTAGCTATTTATTAGAAATCCACATATCAATGGGAATTTTCATTTTCAACATAAACTTTATGGATGAAATAATGGTATCTTTTAAAATACAGGAGTTTTTGATTGTATCTGGATATTGACTTTGTCACTTTCAAAGTTTTTCATATCATCTCTGCCCATGAAGTAAGTAATGACCCACTATTTACTTAGACAACTTAAAAAATGCAACGTGTCCTGGCATAAAGCAGCCACTAAAATAACATAGCTGACCAGTATTTATTACAGTCAGTATATCATATTTTTATGATTTATGTTAAAATTTACTATTTTCTGGGGGAAAAGATAAAGTGGGCTAAAAACACTTTAAATGTATTTCTTGCTCTTATTATAGTAATGAGTGGGTCAAAAGATCTGCAGAACTGCCTTCCTCCATGTGGTCATTCAGGGATCCAGGCTGTCAGAGAACTTGCCATCCTTACTATATGGCTTCCAAGGTCTCATGTCCTTTTCTCTCCATCAAGATGGAAGAAGAAAAGAGTGTATGGGAAGTGCCATGAACCATATCTGGAAGTGGAGCTCATCACGTGGGCTGACATTCAATTGGCAGTTCAGTAGAATAGAACTTACAGAATATCTAAGTAAAAGAGAATGGGTAATGTCGGTTAGATGTGTATCCAACAATAGGAGGAGAACATTGATTTGGGACAATTGTCACAAATCTCTTTTACCAGTGCTCTTTGTGACTCCATTTCATGGTTTCAACATTCTTATTATATTTGTTGTTGATTTGCGAATAAATAAGATGAAACGTAAAAAAAAAAATTAACGGAAACTGATAGAGCCAAGGTACAGGTCTGTCTGATACATCTCTTCTTTGTCATTTTAACATTCTTCAATATAATTACTGTTAATTGATTATTTTCATTATTATTTTTATAATAACGTTGGAATGTAAGAATTTCCATGTTTAATAATGAATATGCTACCTATTCTATACCTAAATGTATATAAATTCTACCAGAGATGGTGTATCTTCTCATTTCTCAAATTCTTTTTCTGTTATTATTCAGTTAAAGGTCAGGTTCTGCTCTTTTTCTCAACAGACTTTATCCTTTCTCTTTTGTGGAAGTATTTCTTATTTTCCCAAGGATAACCTCTACATTTTAGACTATGACAAAACAAAACACATTAAGATTTTTATATCATAGAGAGTCATCCAAGGTTAGTGGACAGACTTTTCTCTCTCTACAGTGGCTCTTTTATTTGTTCATTCAACAGACATTTGTGGAGCCCCTATTAAGCATCAGTCACTTTTGTGATACAGAAAATAGAGTAGTTTATAAAGCAGAGAAAACCCTGTTTCCATAAGCGATCTTTCATTGTAGTGGAGAACACAGATAATAAATATATATTATATGATATAATGTAAGGTCATTCAAGGGATTTGTTGAAAAGGAAACCAAATAAGGTGGATAATTGTTTAATATTTTTTTACCCAAAACAATGGGATTTTATTTTATTTATTTATTTTTTAATTTTTTTTTTCAACATTTATTTATTTTTGGGACAGAGAGAGACAGAGCATGAACGGGGGAGGGGCAGAGAGAGAGGGAGACACAGAATCGGAAACAGGCTCCAGGCTCTGAGCCATCAGCCCAGAGCCCGACGCGGGGCTCGAACTCCCGGACCGTGAGATCGTGACCTGGCTGAAGTCGGACGCTTAACCGACTGCGCCACCCAGGCGCCCCAATAATGGGATTTTAGATACAGTTATCACTAAAGTCCTTTATCAAGATTTGGCATTTGAGCAAAAAACCTGAATGAAATCTAGATAAATGGGAACTACCAGACTTACTAGTATTTTATATAGAACTTTCTCAAGTCGCAAGTACGCAGTTATGGAGTTTGGCTGTTTTGTGATAAATTACAGACTGGATGAACTATAGAAGGCAGCTTTGTAATGAGCAACTGCAAGTAATGGAAACGTTAATTAAGTTTGTTGATGCACCTGCTGGTGCTGTTTGTTGCATTTCTAACTTGGAGGCAGGTGAACCAGGTAAGTTTGCAGGTGATCAAAATTTACCTGTGACTTAAATATATAATCAGGTAAAGTTTTCTGCACATGGATATACACAACTGACCAAATAATTGAGAATTTGTTATTTTTTGACATAGATAAACTAAATTGTACCAACCTTGCCAAGAGAAGTTCTATAAATAGCAAATTTTGTAATACTATTTTGTAATTATTATTAGTTCACTTCTTATATTGTAGATCATACTACTGAAAAGACGACTGGAACCATTAAACAAATATAATATGGCCATACTATTACCTATAAAATGAACATAAAATAGTCTTTCAAAACTTTCTGGAAGTTTGCATTTGTTGACTATGTCTTCAGAAAAACTAAGTATTACACCATTATTTATATAAAGGAAAGCTTTCTGATTTCTGTTCATAAGTATTATGCAAACTTAGTGAGAAGTACAAAGGACCAAGAAGATGAATTCATTTTATGTTAAGTTGATTCGTGTTGGTTGGAAGAAATCAAGGTTAGTGTTGGAGAAACAGTATAAAACTCTAGTTTTTTGAGAGCAGCTTTTAAAATCATCAGATATAGCACAGATGGCAAGATATCAGAAATAAGAGATATCTTGGAATGGAATTTGAAGTGAATTTTAACGGTCATAAGTAAAGGAAAAAGTGTTAAGAATACAATTTTATTGGCTGATGCTAGCATTCAGAAGTAGAAGTACCAAAAGAAATAAAATTCAAGAATAGTTTATATTTTATACAAGCTATAATTTCCAGCATCTGGAAGCTTACAACATAGAGTAGACATCCATGTGTCTTTCCCGGAATGGACTGAATCGCCTTGTCGATATCTACTATTGACATTGTTATTCTTAAGTGCCTAGAAGTAAAAGTAAATCATTTATAAAAATTCCCACGTAAAAAAGAATAGGAAAGATGTGAAGTTGTACCTGAATCAGAATTTTAGATATTATAAGGAAGTTCCCTCCTTTCAATTCTATGTCAGTTCAATGGAAAGCACATGCTTTTTTGACATCTAATGCTTTTTTTTTTTTTTTTTTTTTTTCCTGTCCTCTTACTCCATTAACCATTCCTCAATCTCTTTTCCTGGTGTCTCAATTTCTTTTCTTGCCAATACTCAGCACATGTTGCCTTTATGTGATGTTTAAATTCTGAGTTTATAATTTCATACTGTTACTATGTCTACTTAAAATTCTGCATGTTGGTATCAGCTTCATTCATTATTTTTATTATTTCCTATTTCCATCATTGATTAGAAGTTGTTTCATTTCCAACAATAAGTTTCATGTACTTGTGACTGTGTATGTGTTTTTGTTGTTAATTTCTAATTTTATGCATTCCAACAATAGAGGCTATATTTTATGTATTTCTTACGATATCTTGAGAATTCCCTGATAAAGGGTTAACATCTCAAATCAATAAAGAACTTATCAAATTCAACTCCCCCAAAATAATTAATCCAGTTAAGAAATGGGCAGAAGACACGAACAGACACTTTTCCAAAGAAGACGTATAGATGGCTAACAGAGTCATGACGTTTGCTCAACATCACTCGCCATCAGGAAAATACAAATCCAAACCTCAACGAGATACCATGTCATACCTGCCAAAATGGCTAAAATTAACAAAACAAGAAACCACAGATGTTGGCAAGGATGTGGAGAAAGGGGAACTCTCTTACACTGTTAGTGAGAATGCAAACTGGTGCAGTCACTCTGGAAAACAGTATGAAGGTGTCTCAAACAGTTAAAAATTGAACTACACTATGACCCAGAAATTGTACTACTAGGTATTTACACAAAGGATACAAAAATACTAATTTGTAGAGACATATGCATCCTAATGTTTACATCAGAACCCTGATGTTTACATGAATGGATAAAGAATATGTGGTATGTATATCTATATATAGAGAGAGATAAATATATATCTATCATATATTAATATTAATGTAATATATATTAATATAATGTTTCATATATGTATTATATATATTAGTAAGTATTAATAGATCATATTTTTGTATTACTCAGCCATCAAAAAGAATGAAATCTTGTCATTTCCAATGATATGGATGGAGCTAGAGTGTATTATGCTAAGTGAAATAGGTCACAGAAAGACAAACACTATATTATTTCACTTATATGTGGAATTTAAGAAACAAAACTGATGAACATAGGGGAAGGGAAAAAGAGAGAGAGAGAGAGAAACAAACATACAAACCATAAGAGACTCTTAACTATAGAGAACATATTGAGGGTAGATGGAGGGAAGTGGGCAGGGGATGAGCTGAGCAATGGGCATTATAGAGGGCATTTGTGTCGAGCACTGGGTATTCTATGTAAGTGACGAATTACTAACTTCTACTTCTGAAAACAATATTACACTATATGTTAACTAAGTAGAATTTAAATAAAAATGTGATAGAAAAAGAATTCTCTTATAGCAGAGTACATAGTCAATTTTTAAATTTTGTATTTTTCTTGTTACTTGTGAAAGATCTATATATATCTTAATTTTTGACTGCTTGATATATATGTTACTCAGATAGATGTTTTAAAATCTTCCAATTGTGTATTTGCTTGTAATTTCATCACTCTTTGCTTTATAATTTTAGGACTATCATTTTAGGTGTCTATAAGTTTAAATAGTCCTGTTCATTGTGTCCTTTAATCAATATCTCTATAAAATTTAAGTACTTGATGTATCTGATTGTTACTATGTCTTATGTATCTTCATGCTTTTGCATTCAAATGAAGTGTATTGTTTTGTTTTTATATCAGTATTCATTTAGACTTAGCATGTTTAATTTATTTTTTTCATACCATAGCTTTTTGGCTACTTCCTCCTAGGTTAGTATTTTTCTTATCAAATATTTTGCATTTCTCATTTAGTTTACTTGTTTCTTCTGGAACTCCTTATAAACAATACCTTGCTTCTTTTCAAGATATTTTGCATATTCTTAAAGTCTCTTTTATTCAGTTTTCCTCTCTTTATTGCTTTGGTTTCCATTCTGGATTATCATCTTAATTCTAGGTTAATATTTTTCTTATTATTTATTCAATGGATTTTCCCTCTTATTGACTGAAATAATTAGAAAGTATTTATTTTTCATAACAACCCCTTTAATTGACCCTTTATACAGCCAGCTCCTCTTGTAAATAAAGGTTTACTCTTATTGTAAAGATGAAACTTTCTTTTCATTTCTGAGATTTTTATATATATGAAATATAAATATTTATTGAATTTACCAGTCACTCATGCAATTGAGTTTTCTAGTGCTGTTTGCAAAATTTATCTTACTGCTCATTTTGTTTGTGAATTATTTTGTTCTGTGACTTTTTCCCATGTTTGGTTTCCTGCCTCTTCAATCCAGTTCTCTGGGATGCTTACTAATAAAATTTTAACTTAGAAGGCCAGGTACTGGGGTGCCCAGGTGGCTCATTTGATTAAGCATCTGACTTCTGCTCAGGTCATAATCTCCCATTTCATGGGTTTGAGCCCCACATTGGGCTCTTTGCTGTCATCACAGAGCCTGGAGACTGATTCAGAACCTCTGTCTCCTTCTCTCTCTGCCCCTCCCCTGCTTGCACTCTCTCTCTCTCCCTCTCTCAAAAATCAACAAACATTAAAAAAAAAAATTAAAGAAAAAGAAGGTCAGATATGGTCCTTAACATTCCATCCTCTGGAGGCTTGGTTTATGGTAGCTAAGTGACTTGTCCAACTCCTTAAAGGATTCTATATCAGGAGGTCAGCTTCTGTTGCAGATAGATCAGATATTCAGCTGTAGAAGTAGCTAGAAAATACTTGTGAGGAGGTAATCCATGCCATTAGTCCATTTAGAGCCTCTAACTATTCCATACTGCTTTGTGAAAGCAATGACGTATCTGAGGATAGAAGCTGGTTTCTATTAATCTACTGGCCGAGTCATCCTTTCCACTGGGTTGTTTATTACCTCTTATACAAATGATGATCTCTGATGGACAGTAACATATGATGCAGACATTCTCACATTTTGTGCCTATGCCTATTAAACCACCCACATTCCTATTCTCTAGAACTCCTTGTCATCAGATTTCCAAAATTGCTACTTCCCAGGCATCTGACCAACTAACATGGCCTGGGCCACAGCTTATGAACTCATGCACCCTTTTAATTCATTAAACTTCTCTTCCACCCAGTGTAAAGGAAAAAGTACACCTCAATAAGTTTTGGCCACCAGAAGGATTTCTCCTCATTACTGATGGGGCACTATTTAGTTTTCACTAAATACAGGCGCTTTCCAATTTTGGTGGCTTGATAATAATTACCTTCTGATGGAAAATTTAGGCTACATGGTCTCTTGATGGTACATGGTTTAGCACTCAGCTTTTCACCAGGATGTGGTACCATTCCAGGAGCATTGCTTGGCTGGGGTTGACTTCTCAGTTGTAGACAGAATTCCCTTGCTCCTAAACACTGGGATATGTACTGCATCTCTCCTGTTGGGTTTCCAGAGGCCCACCCATTGTCTTTATGATAGATACCTCTAGAACCGATGTCAGTGTTACTTTTATTATTGAATACATTATCCATTGTCCATCTCTATTTCTTTTTATTTTTATTAATTAATGATTTTTTTAAAGTTTATTTATTTTGGCAGAGAGAGAGAGAGAGAGAGAGAGAGAGAGAGAGAGAGAACGCACCAGCAGGGGAGGGACAGAGAGAAGGAGAGAGAGAGAGAGAGAGAATCCCAAGAAGGCTTCACACTGTTAGCACAGAGCCTGACATGGGGCTTGAACTCACGAACGTTGAAATCATGACCTGAACCAGTCAAGGGTTGGATGCTTAACTGACTGAGCCACCCAGGAACTTTTTCTTTTTACACCTTAACCTAGTTCATTCATTTTCTCTATGCTGGCACTGACTCAGAAAACATGTTGCATGTTTAATATCATAGAAATCCAGGAGGCAATCAATCATCTGTTCAGGGAAGCTTCAATGTATCTGGTAGAAGCTGCTGAAATATTTTTTGCCTTCTCCCAATCCAGCCTGATTGTGTTAAGATACTTTCGTAGGGTTCCTTCAATTCTTTGCTGGTAAAAATCCATTTTACATAAACAGAAAATCACATAGCAAATTCAGCATTCCACATAGGAAACAGAAATAATTCTGAGTATTTCTAGTTGAAACTGATTGAACATAGGGAATTGCTTGTTTGCCAAATCATTAGTGAGCTAAAGAAATGGAAGTTAGGTCCATTGTCTGTAACAACACATCGCTGCTGCCATTGACCTGGGGCACAAAACTGCTCTTGTCAGTGATAACACTGCTGTCTACACAGAGCCACCACACTCATGGAGGTGGTGACTGAACTAGGAGATTCTGCCAGATGCAATGCAGAATAATCCACTAAAGATTGCCTATAAATTGGCACTGCTACTGAAACGTCGCCTTCTCTGTCCTGCCTTCCAAATTTCACCCAACTGCATCAAGAAGAGTCTGAATTTTACCCCGTCCTCTGGCTACATGCAAGTCTCTAAACATAGATTTTAATCTTCCATTCTCAATAATGCGAGAGTGATCTTAGAAAGGAGTGGGAATAGACCTTGTGTCAGCCGACAACACCTTAAACAAAGGTAGATGATGAGAGTTTGTAAAGGAATTCGAACACCATCCTGTCTTACACACAGTCAATGAATTAATGAGTAGTTATGTAAACCTGGCAAAACCGTGTTGTGATGGCTTGGCAAGCATCTCCTATATTAGTTTCCTGGGGTATCCATAATGAAATACCATAACTAAGGTTGCTTTAACAGCAGACATTTTTTTCCTCACAGTCGGGAGGCTTGAAGTCCAAGATCGAGGTGTTGATAGATTTGATTTAAGGTCTCTCTTCTTGGCTTGCACATAGCCACCTTCTCACCACGTCTTCGTACTTTCTTCGTGTGTATATCCTGGGAGTCCCTGTGTGGGTCCTAATATTCTCTTCCTATAAAGACTTCGGTCACATTGAATCATGGCCCACCCAAAGGGCCTCATTTTAGCTTAATCACCTCTTAACAGGCCCTTTCTTCGAATACAATCATATTCTGGGGTATTGGACGTTAAAGTTTCAACATATGAGTTCTGGTGGGGGCACAATTCAGCCCATAAATCTCCCCTCCCACATGTTTAAAATTAATTTTACAAGCAGATTAGGACCATTTGTATTCTCATAGCTGTTATGAAATTATATGAAAGATCATGCTCGTGTACATTTACAGTAAATTTTACACTAAAGAATCAAAATGAACGAATATATACGTTCTCCACCCGACCTTACAAAATAGCTAGCTGAGTTATTTACACACCACCTTAAGGACATTCAGAAGTGAAGAAGTCCTTTTCCGTTGTGCAGTGGTATATCATCGCCAATTCATCGTGACCCTAGCAATTCACAATGCCTCATTTTACCCTGAGAAACAAACCCAATTTCTAAGGTTCTGAGAAACAGAAATAGCTGTTTTTCACTTGGTTAAAACTAATTAATCTGTTTTCTTTATATATAGAAAGAGGAAACAGGTGCTCCTATGATTTATGAAAGAATGTAGCTCACAATTATTACAGTGAAATACCAGAGTTATGTCAATCTACATTCAATGGTGCAAACACTATGACCATAGTGCAGTCAAGTTCGCAGATCAATGTTTTAAAATTCTAAATAGACTTTGACTAAAGTTATTTTAATTATGCTAATCTAAAAGTTTCTCAAATGCTCCCACTGCTCATTATCTTTCAGCAAATCGTAACTGTTTTGTGGTACTGACAAACTACATTTTGGAATCGAAGGCCACTGGCATTTTTATAAATTATTTAAATGTAAAAATTGCTGCATAGTGGTTCATGAGAGTCCCTTTCATCACGGCGTTCACAGTGTGAGGATACAGTGACAGATCATTTCTAGGTAGAATCAAGGTGAGAAGTTTGCTCCAATTACTGCACAGAATTCCAGTAATAAAAGGATATTTTTTTGCTTAAATTGGCAACACAGAAGGAAAGGTCAGCTCTGGCATACGTTTGAGTATAAAAGTGAGCTTATTAATTTGGCTTCTTATACACAAATATAACAAATAGGTCATTTCTGATACACTAACTGACTTTTATCTGAGGTAAAATAATGAATAAATTAAGAAAAGGTGATGCAATATTATACAAAGCTATTTCCAAGTAATTTTGGGTATATCACAAATGAATAATAATTAACAATGATTTTAGATGTATTTAAGTAATTAAACCATATACCAATTATTATAGACAGATAGATACATGGATACATACATATCCCATACCCTAGTTGTTTTATATATGTTACATGTGTTTATATGTATAATATGTGTTGTATATGTGTGATGTATTGTTATATGCTATATCCATTTTCTGGATATATATTTACTGGATATATATAAACATACACACACACACACACACATACACATATACACACAGATGGGCATTTGGTTTATTTCCATTTTCTGACTTTGTGAATAAGGCTGCTCTACACTTTGTGTACATATGTTTTGAAATGTAATTCACATACCATATAATTCAGCTACTCAAGGTGTATAATGAAATGTTTTTTGTTTTGTTTTGTTTTGTTTTAGTATTTTGACAGGTTTGTACAATCATCAC